ATTATCCTCACTGTATGATCTGCAAAACTCCCCCTCAAGATGGCATGTGAATGTTTAAGACACCCATCTTGTTTAACAACATACGAAATCTGACTCCTCCTAGTGCCTTTGTCAACAAATCTGCCAGCTGATTTGTGGTGGATAGATGCATAGTTTTTATGTCGCCTGATTGCACTTTCTCCCTCACCAAATGACAATCCAATTCTATGTGCTTCGTTCTTTCGTGGAAGACGGGATTGCTTGCTATATGTATTGCCGCTTGGTTATCACAAAATAATAGGGCAGCCTTAGAATGATCAATACCCAAATCTGTTAACACCTTTTTGAGCCAAATTATTTCACAAATAGCTGCAGCCATTGCTCTATACTCTGCCTCAGCCGACGATTTGGAAATGGTATGTTGTTTCTTCGAACGCCAGGAAATCAGGGAATCTCCAAGGAATATGCAGTACCCCGTAACTGATCGTCTGGTGTCTGCACAAGATGCCCAGTCAGCGTCGCAAAATCCTTTGAGTTCTAGGCTAGACTTTGCAGGAAAGAATAACCCTTGCCCAGGTGTTCCTTTCACATATCTCAACACATGTAATGCTGCTTCAAGATGAGGTTTTCTTGGAGATTCAAGGTACTGACTCAGAACCTGTACTGAAAAAGACAAATCAGGTCTTGTGATAGTCAGATATAACAACCTTCCAATCAGCCTCCTATACATGCCTGGATCATCAACTAACTCCCCCTCATCCTTGGTCAACTTTAAGTTCTGTAGCATAGGGCATTTAGCAGGTTTCGACCCCAGGTATCTAGCATCTTCAAGAACTTCTAAAGCATACTTTCGTTGATAGACAGAAATTCCCTTGGATGATCTAGCAACCTCAAGTCCCAAGAAATATTTCAGAACCCCCAAGTCTTTTAATCGAAACTGCCTATCAAGATCCCTTTTGAACTGTTCAATATAAGGTAAGTCATTGTCCCCTATGATGATATCATCAACGTATATAAGAAGGACAGTAAAAGAGCAGCCAGTCCTCTTACTGAAGAGAGAATAGTCGGATTTAGACTGAACAAATCCCTGAGAGATGATAAATGATGACAGTTTAGTGTTCCACTGCCTTGAGGCTTGCTTAAGACCATATATTGATTTGTTTAGCTTACAAACCAACGTGGTACCATCCTCCCCCTACTGCTCATACCCCGGAGGCATCCTCATATACACCTCCTCCTCAAGATCCCCATGGAGGAAAGCGTTATTGATGTCCAATTGGTGTAAGTGCCAATGCTTGCTTGCTGCAATTGCTAGAAGGATCTTGACTGAGGCTAATTTTGCAACAGGCGAGAATGTTTCCTGATAATCAAGGCCTGCCTGCTGAGTAAAGCCCTTTGCAACGAGCCTAGCCTTCTTCCGTTCTTCAGTCCCATCCTGCCTCAGTTTGGTTTTATAAACCCACTTACAATTCACAGCTTTCTTATTAGCGGTAGAAGAGTAACAGTCCAGGTGTTATTAGCAACCAAAGCCTGGAATTCATCATCCATGGCTCGACACCAATCTGAAGACTGGGATGCTTCCAAAAAATTTCGAGGTTCAGCAGTGGTGGATAGTGACAGCACATAGGCCCTGTGAGCTGGAGAAAGAAAATCATAGCCCAGATAATTAGACAAGTCACTAGAGGTTTTATCCCGTTGACTGGAAAACGATGAGGTGGAAGAATTTTGAGAGACAAGATTGCAGTGAAATTGCTGAAGGTAACTGGGGAGCTTCCTAGGTCTGGTAGACCTACGGAGAGAGGAAGAATG